GTCGCTCGAATTTTTCACAAAGCAGTTGTCTCATTTTAATTTTGAGTCAGTTGACTTATCTGTAAGAAGAGTGTTTCCAGATCTGGATCTACGAAATTTGACTTTTCCATGTTTGAGAGTCTCCGCACCACGAAATACAACGTTTTAGTGGTATATTGGTATTTAGGTAAATTTACAGTTACAACTTTTAAAAGTCGCTTTTCACGTTGTTTGACAGTACCCCAAAAATGGCGGATTTTGTGAGATTATTTTTCTTGATATAACTGTTTTAGATGTGGAGGTACTCGAATTGTGCTAGACGAGACAGAAGAGAACAGACGTCGACAACAAAAACAAGAAATATTTCGTAAACATAAACAATGGAGAGATGAAGTGGAGAAAAGACGTGATATGGATAGACAGCAGAGAAATATAGCGAAAGAAAAACAGATACAGATGGCTGAGGAATGGCAGGCAGCGTTGGATAAAGTACGAGAAGATATAAACACAGCACGCGAGGCGTATCGACACACATTCATTGTACAGGTAAACTTGAAAGATGATATTTGCACTTCACTTGGTTCAACTTGAATGCTGGGTTTGGTGGATAATCCAAGTGAGCATATTATACAGCTAATTAAAAAAAATTGTCCTTCGAAAATCTCAAACCTTAAACTCTAAGCACGCAAAGAGTGATGGGTAACTTCTTTTTAGGGCTTTTGATTGGGCAAATAATCCTAATACACTGCTAGTTGTTCACTTGTTCATCTTAAGTGCTTATTATCTGTCTAAAATTCGCACGTTTTAGGCCTTCGCGCTTAGAGGTTTGTAAAGGACAACCTTTTTTGAAACAGCTGTATTTACACAATTTAAGACTTGACCAGGAACTTGTGGTTAGAGCTTGATAACTGGTCTCTGTAGCTCAGTTAGAGCGCTGCATCCTGACAGGACCGCATGTTGATTCCTGCCGGAGGCCATTAAAGCCTAACGTCTCAACTGAAGAAAACGAGGCTGTATAGCCGAGGTATTTTCTGCAGCGTGTATTGCATTATCGAAAGCTTTGCAGTAATAAATTTACGCGGTGTTTCCACAAATAACAGGTATTATATGTTTTATCGCCATGCAAACCTACAAAGAACTTATATGTATTTATCACCATGCGAACGGTGAAACATTGCAAGCATTAATAATGACTTTGGTTTGCCATAATCCAAAAACATGTAAGATCTAGCTAGTAAACTATATTACGTAGCAACCAAGACATGTGTTCGTCTCATGCAGGAACCCCCGGAAGAAGAGGTAATTGAACCAGTCAAGGAGAGGTCGCCATCACCCGCAAAAGGACGAAAAACAAGCAAGAGTCCAAAGGGAGCGCGCAAGTCACCAAAAGCAAAAAAGAAGTGAAATTATAATGTATCCTTACGTAATATTGTATATAGAACCTCAAAGGTTTATTTTATTTATTGCAAAGATCTAATATATTATAATTGGTCCACTGTATATTTTATTACGAATTCTCAATATAAATGTATTGGAAAAATACTAGTTAAATACAATTTGCCACGATTAAAATAGCTATGTATCATTGTCATCATTCATCCTTCACCACCATCAAGGATATCGTCATCATCACTATCATCATCACCATCAACAATAATCATCATCACCATCAAGGATATCGTCATCATCACTATCACCATCACCATCAACAATAATCATCATCACCATCACACCGATATCATCATCAGTATCATCACCATCAACAATAGTCATCATCATCAAGGATGTCGTCAGTATAATCACCATCACTATAAAATAGATTGAACTACAGGAAAAAATTTTTCTGTAAAAATCACACTTCGGGAATGTTTGGTTTCGGAATTCGTTGAGAAGCATTTTTGATCCTGGGAAAGGAAAATTCGTTTTCGCAAAAATGTTTCCAAGGGTAAGGCAGAAAGGGAAATATTTGGGAGAAATCTACATTGTTCACGTGCCAATGTCACAGTTTGCTAATGTTCACCGTTAGATGCAAATGACGGTAGTTTAGCGTTCTTCGCGAATATAAACACGAATAGTTGGATTAGAAATTTTCTCAAGTCGCTTTTAAAAAGCTCAAACAAGCAAAAGGATTAAAATTTCTGTCATATTTTGCATCATTTATGGTTCAAATATAATCCGTTTACATGGTAACGCTCTCATTGGCAAAAGAAAAGAATTCAAAACGGTCTACGATTCGCTGACCAAAGATTAGGTCGGGGATTAATTTTAACAAAGGGGGTTTTATACGAGGCTTTCGGCTTGGATTTGGTGGCGCTCGCCTGCGAATTCCCTAAACGGTGTTTTGTTGGATTTATAAACTCAAATTTTTAACTCAATATGGATGAACAAAACTCTGGATTTATTCTATGTGATATAAGTTTCAATGGTCAGCTAGTAGCTGATGTAAAGTTACCAAGAGCTTGTAGTATGGGCAATATAGTTCAAGGCTTATGGCTCGACGATAATTTTCGCAAGACAGGCTTGCAATATTTGAAGGCCAAAGACGAAAAAGCAGCTCAAAAGACGGGTGGAGAAAAGAGTACACCTTTGAAGAGTTTTGGTGGGATTGATCGCTCTATTCTACGTGCCTATGGTTAGTTGCTGTTATATGTATTGAAGAATTTTGAGTTTAGTAATTTGCTAGTTTTTAGACATGGCGCATTATTAGCGCATATATCATTGTCATTGAGCTGCAATGTGCCTTATTATCTATTTATATCTCTCTATTAAAATCTCTAATATTTGGGCTATATTCACATGATCAGAGTTGGCTGACCAGGTTCACATAAAATATAGGCAAGAAGTACAAGCGAATATAGTGTGTGTGCAATTAAAGTTGTTCACTTTATAATTTATATTCAACAAATGTGGTTTAGTTTGCAAAATATTACTGTACTTTTGGCAACAGTTTCAGCTATAAATATATTCACCTTCCAGGCAAGTGAGGGTATGTTTACACAGCAATTTCTCATTTACAATTTGTATTGTGGCATATGAAAGTTACTACTAATACTACAATTCACTTAGATTGTGGCAAATTTGCAATGTGATCTGTGCATGGTTTGTCGATTACATTAACCCAGAATTTAAATAATACACAACAAATTGTAATGTGTAAACGTCTTGACATGCAAACAGACCTACAGCCACAAGGCCGGGAGACTAGGGTCACAGAGTAGATACATATACAGAGTTATAACTAGTGTACCCACTTCTTTGTGTGCATGCTTGGCAAGTTACTAGATGCATGCATCCCATTGGATGACGGCTTGCTTTAACTGTTTGCCGAACACGCGCAGTTGATAATTTTTGCCCGGTCGCCTGAAAAAAGTGGGTGCATGAAAACATAACTTTCTGCAGTATTTACGACGGCCAGTTACAGCTCTGTATGTATCTACTATGTGCTAGGGTTTAGCCATAGATTATAGATCATACCAGATGTCTCACTGTGTATCTATCTCTATGATTTTCGTGTCCGCGATTTTCGCAAGGCTATCACGCCAGATGACGCGTGCGACACTTACTGCCAAAATGGCGCTTACTGCCAAAAGGCGTGATTGCTCACGTTTCATGGCGTGGATTACACTTACTGCCAAAATGGCGGCCAATTCGTGCTCATAAAAAATCGCGGACACAATTTTGGCTGAGTGAGACATCTGGTATAATCTATAATCTATGGTTTAGCCATTTGAATACTGAATAAAACATTGAAAAACATAACCAGCTGGCTTGCCAAGGTCAAATGAATAGCCCGTATAGGAGGTGGGCATTGGGATTTACGGTATGGCGGTATTAGCTTATTTTTCTTACGGTATTTCGGTATTTTCCTTGGAAAATTACGGTATTTGAAAACTTGCGGTACACGGTATTTGCAATTTTGGACTCAAAAGCTGCGGTATTTGACAAAATTTGCTTTGCGGATAAATACGATCATTTGGCCAATTGCCAAATGGCTGTGTGGGGTTTTCCTTTATCCACAAAGGTCTATTGTGACACGATTTAACTTGACAACTGTTGGTTGCAATGGATAATATAATATAATCCTTCAATATCTCTTCTAGTGGCAATCCGTATTATGCCAGCATGGAAATGGCTTGAATTTAAAGATTTCATTGTTGACTTTGAGAACAAGAAAGATTGCTACACAGTTGGAGATGTCTTGGGTACCTTATGTACAGGCTTGCATAAACCTGTTTTAAGGATCGTACCAAAAAGCGAGTAAGTGTTTGCGATTACATCTTTTACTCCCATTGAGCAGGTTTATACTATTAGTTACTGTTATGTTCAATGTAAATAGATTTTTGTAGCTAGGTTAATTAACCCATTAAGCTGCATTTGTGTGAATACACCACAATTTATTATTTTACCCTACACGTCTAACACCAGGGGCTGGTTGTTCAAAGCTGGGCTTAGCTTAATTAACCCTCGAGCTTGTTTATAAATTTGGAAATATTTCTTCGGAGATCTTGTCTGGATCAGTAGGAGTTTTCTTCTCTGAAGTTTTGAAATAAACAGACGTGCAGAAATACATATCAGCAGGTTAAATTTTAACCCTGGGTTAGCACTAACCCACCTTTGAACAACTGGCGTAATTATACTCGTCAAGGGAGAGTGCTGGTGCTCAATGGGTTACCATGGTTATTTTGACTTTCAACCTAGAAACGAGGCAGATGACCAAGAAGTGAAGAATATTGTTAATGAACTTCTGAAAACAAGATCACTAGCAACACTGGCAGCTGCTGAATGTCCATTGTCTAATGTAGGTGTTATTACTCAATACAGTGCTGATTTGAATTTTTGGGGCTTAATTTAATTAAGTTCATGTTTTCTGGCAATTTTCTTTCACAAGTTTTATTTGTTTGTGTGCACAGCAAAAAAATTGACAATTTGTTTCTTCCAGTAATGCTAGCTTTTGGAAAGAAAGCTTTTCAAGTGTATACAAAATAATTCTAGGTTTTGGCAAACAAAAGGGTGCTTGGCATGAGATAAATGTGAAATTTGTCCAGGGAAACTTGTCAATGACTTGCTCGTTTGTATGGGGCATTACATTGACATGTTTCCAGAAGGGTCAAATGTCACTATGTAATAGATTTTCCTATATATTTTGATGTTGACAGGGCATGCTGAGCCTGATAGCACAGGGAAAATATACAAGCACAATTAGTCATGACAGATGCCAGGCATTTGTTCATTGGTTGAGACGGCAAGATTTGACGAACAATGGCCTCAGAAACTCCGAACAAAGAGTTGAAACTCCAAAGCCAGATGTGCCTGTTGTTTCTACGCCACAACCAAGTAAGAATTTTAAGCCTAGGATCACATTCTCACAGAACGAGACTGACAATTTGACAGAGTGGTTTAATGAGGATGAGCGTCCGAGCAGAGAGGTTATGCAGCAGTATACAGAAATTTTAAACATCCCAAGACAAATGGCCTCAATCAGATTGCTAACACAAGAAAGTATTTATTTCTGGTTTAAAAACAAGCGGTCAAAAAAGAGGAAAGAGGACTCAAGCCTGCTCGAACCTTGGGAAATGTCCGAGAGTGGGGGCACACCCCAAGTTACTATGGCAATTGGAGACACACCTCAAGCAACTGGGGACACACCTACCAGTGCGACCACGTCTCAACTTGCTAAGAGTAGTACACCTCAGGTTGCCATGGCAACAAGGGAAAATGGTGGTGCATCCATTGCTATGGCGATTACAGAGGAAAGCAGTGATGAGGTTCGTATGCCAATCAATGGTCTAGCTACCATGCTGGCAAGGTATACGCCACAAGACAGACAGCCTAGAAAGATACCCAAATCTCGGATTACGTTTGACCCGCAGACCGAACTGAGCAGTCTTAACAAATGGTTTAACGATAATGAACGACCAGATAAGGAGATTATTGAGGAATATACAAATATCCTAAACGAAGCAAGGTCACAGAAATCAAAGCGAATGTTGACCTCAGATAGTATTGCTATGTGGTTTAAAAATAAGAGGGCAAAAAGGAGAAGGAGCGAGGAGAGTTTTGTTGGTGAGAACAGTGGGCAGCAACAGGTTGTGGAAGCTAATGAAGGAAATAAGAATGAAGCAGGTGCAACTGCTGGTATGGATACAACTACTGTAACAGATGGAACCACTTCCATCACTCCTGCTACAATTGAAGTTACAGTATCAAGTGTTACTGCAAGTGGTGCTGCCTCAGACCAAATGGAAACTGATGGGGAAGATCATGAAAGGAATATTTTTAGTGCAGGACTTGTTGCAGTGAAGACAGCTACAATCTAAACAAGAAATGGAGCTGTATATCAAAATCTTCTACAACTTGTTACAACTTGTTGTTCTACAACTTGTTGTTCTGGACAACCTAAAGTGTCCAATGTTGAATTGAATTCTTGTTTCTGGTGATGTTGCTCTCAAACCAAAGGCTGCGGGTTTGATTCCCACCGTGGTCAAGCAAATTTTCCAGCTTACACGGTATGGACACACTCAGAGACAACGTCACAAAACATAGTTTCACTAGTTTATCAAGAACATGTTGTTGACAGTAGTTATATTCAATACATGTAGATGGATTTGATAGATTTTGTTGGTGCCTGTACTCTATGTAAATTGTTTAATGTTTAGGTGATATAATAATAGTGTGTTATTAACATATAGAGTCCAGAGATTTGTCTGCTTAAAGGGGTCAGTTTATAGGAGTTCTGACAACCTCACCCCCAGGGTTAACACAAAAACAACCTGGGGATGAGGTTGGGGTTCTGACTGTATTTCTGCTTGGCAAATCTTGTAAAATAAATATAGTAGCCGGTAGAAAAATAAATTACATCAGAGTTTATTGTACCTTATGTTTATGATCCGTCCAAAAATAATTTAGGGAAATTTATACTTGCAGGCACGATCCTAGAAAACATAAGCAAAATTACATCTTTATATTATTACAATTTAGATAATATATCATTTTATTCATAACTTTTTCAAACATACCTATTACTTGTTATGTGCTTGAGAAAATTCATATAGCTTGGTCGCACATTGTGACTTTCGAATACACACTAGAAGAGTGAAGTCTAAAGATTAGAGTGCAAATAGTAATGTTCTACTAGTGTGAACAATACAGATTATGTCCTATGCATAGATTGAGGTTCAAGCAGTACACATTACCATATGAAATGTTATAGCTGTTGATAATGTGTAGATAATAATATCAGCATAAGGAATAAATGGCAGAACACCTTGGTATTGAGCATTCTTGAATAGAATCTGAAATATACAATCATTGACTTGTGTTATCACAATCCATAGTAGAATACTGAGTATGCATTCCCATACCTCTGCCACTTTTGTGAATAAATATAAACTAATGGTTGAACTTCGGTAAAATAGCATTGATAGTCCTGACACTGCACCTAAACATTACAATTTTATCTGTTACATCATTTACTTTATTGTCAAAAAACTTAGTTGGTATGCTGTTGATCATGTTTACTTAACCCTTTTAAGTGGCAATGTGCCCAGATGCAACCTACTTTATTATTTTACTCTGTCTAACCCCAGACTATTTTACTTTGTCTAACACCATACTATTTTACTCTGTCTAACGCCAGATTTTACTTGTCAGGGGCAGAGTGCTGCCACTCAATGGGTTAACTAGCATTCAGTTGAACTATAAATACATTTGGACCAAATTTTATTAAAAAAACATTACCTGCTACCAAACTGTTAAAGGAATCTTTCCTTTTACGGAGAATTGCTGATAAGCATTCTACAAACTGAAGATAAAACTTAATTAAATCAACCCACAACAGATTTGTAAAAGGAAAATTATACTTACTTGAAATATTGAAACAAAACTACCGAGAAACAAGCCAAGTTTGAAGTTGTTCTTGTGCACCAAAATTTGTGGAATTTTCACTGTGGGAAAAAATGTTTAGATTTATGTACCATATCATTACCAGCTGTTTAGATTGTATTCTGCTAGGTTGCTAAACTGGCTAGTAATGATAGTTGATGTCTCAGATAGTCTGTCAGACCACCCTAACAGATAATGCCTCCTAACAGATTATATGTCGCCTCGTATATCGCTCACAGTAGCTAGGCTGTAGTAAACTTACTAGGCTGAAAAAGAGACTTAAAAATTCCAGGTACTGCTTCTATTAAATAACCAATAGAGAACGCTTTTATTGGTGAAAATAATCTGCAAACAAATCACAGTATAAAAATTTTGCAATAAAAATTTAGGGACAAATTAAATCCATGGTTGTATGATGACAGTGACACCCACTTACAAGTTTGTAAAAATGAAGTTCCACATACCTTTTATAAATGTCTGTATGTCCAATAACTGAGAATTCATTTTGAGAACTAGTTGAATTTGCATTTAATTTTTCTTCTCCAAGAAGAAATCTAGAGTACATAATTTTTATATTTCAACAAAAAGATTTAATAATCCCAAGCAGATGAGTTCCGATTACTTACAGTACCATAATGGTATCATCAGTAAATACCAAAGATGCCGAGACAGGAAAATGTTATACGGACCATAAATTTTCACTGAAAAAGGTCTGTATAATTATATTATTATTACTTACTTGATTATTCTATTTAAGAGACCATTATTTAATTTGTTTGTCCTAAAAAGTGAAATTTTTAGGCAGTTAGTTAATATTATATACAGTACATTGCAATGTAGATCTATAGTGTCAATGCAGTTCTGGTTTACCTGTATAAATACATTAATAATCCTGTGGCTGTACAAAACATATAAACCTATTAGAATAATAATGAAAGTGTATCGATAATAGTTTTAAATCATTATGATATGACTAAAACTTGCATGTTCCTGTTTACTTGGGACTATTATAAATTTGGAACCATGTGAACAGGTGGAACCATACAAGTTTTGGTACTGTTACACATTTGTTATGATATGAACTCTACCATAGGAATATGAACCTAAAAATGTACTCTAATTTTTAATATTTTAACTTTTTGGTACCTCTCCATATGACAATGTCATTAGAATATTTCTGCTAACCAGTGCATTAAAAATTGCTTCAAGAGCCTAGAAATGGTAATAAATTATGGTATGGTGCTTAGAATACATGGTGCCATACTGCCATCAACAGGTTTACCATCCATTGAAAATTTTTGACATAAGTTCAATTTTTATTTACATTATTGAACATGTATAAAGCCAGCAATCCACGACGTTCTGGTCTTTCAACTATGATACCAAGATAGCTTGAAAGAAGAGCAGGAAATAGACCCCCTGTAAAGACTGTGAATGCTCCAACAAGTTTTCTATATAAACATTAAAATGTAAATTAATTGCAACAATGATGGTTGAATGGTGGTGGTGATGATGGTAATGATGCTGGTGATAATGGTTAGGTTGGTGAAGGCGCGTGGTGATGAAGGTGACCAGCGGTGGTAATATGGTAATGAGGGTTGTGATAATGGTTAAGATGGTGAAGGTGGTGATGAAGGTGGTGGTGATGATGATGGTAATATGGTAATGAGGGTAGTGATAATGGTTAGGTTGGTGGTGGCGATGATGGTAATAATGAAGGTGGTAGTGGTGATGATGGTAATATGGTGATGATAATGGTTGGGTTGGTGGTGATGATGATAGTGGTGCTGAAGGTGGTGGTGATGATGGTTATAATTATGATGGTGATGGTAGTGGTGATCAAGATGGTTCTGATAGTGATATGTGATCATGACGTTGATGGTGGTTGTGATTTTGATGGTGAAGAAGTTTTGTTATGGTAAAGTACTGAATAATGATGGTGGTTGTAATGGTAGCAATGGTTATGACAATGGTGTTGGTGGTGATAAGTGTTGTTGGTGGCGACAGTGATGATAGTGATAATGGTGGTTTATTGGTTTGGTACTAGTGGTGTTGGTCTTGATGATTGTGGAGACTGGTAACAATAGTGAGAACTGAGAAACACAGTACCATGATCTTAACAATTTATCAACTCTACCTGGTCAAGCAAAGGAATGCTGCAAACAAACCACCATTTAATGACAAAAAAGTAGTAGATCTCAATACTTCGTATAACAACTCTTTTTTCACATACTCCCAACCTTTTCTTCTGAGAAGTGTAGTTACCTGGAAAATCGATTGTAGGACTTTATAAATACAGTGCTATCAATGTCAAAAAATTAATGTTTTCTAGTGCCGCTTACATATTTCATAACGTGTACATAATAGATACATCAAATCTCACCAGATATAAGGTGCCATAAATTTTAAAAGAAGTGCGAAAGACATGATAAAATATCTCTAGGGTAGCAAATGAACACGACGTTGTCCACGGATGAAGAGCTTCCGTACATTTAGCATTAACCTTGGAGAAAGCAGTCATAACTGAACAGTGAACAAGAACAACTATAATATATAAAAGCTCGACATTTTAATTAAATAATATCGACATTCGAAATTTCCAAGTGGAATTCTAGTACTGGAAGCTTTGGCTATAAGTACAGTAAATTTACAACGTAGATCAAGCCAAGCCGACTTAGCTCAGTTGGGAGAGCGTTAGACTGAAGATCTAAAGGTCCCTGGTTCAAATCCGGAGAACTCGCATGGAGTTCTGAACATTCCCGGGAGTCGGCAATTGGCTACTTTTTGTGGCCAAATTATTTTTTCTACCGAATAACTTTTTTTTCTCATCCTAAAAGCACCCGTGAAATAATTTACTGTGTCTTTTGAGTTTAATTTTGTACAACAAAATGAAAAAAATAAATAAAGAAATCAGAAAACTTTCAGCTCACCTTGTCCCCAGGTCCAAGCTCGGTGTTAACCCGAGCATGCCCGTTCGCAGGTTAAGGGCCATGATCTCAATGGATCACACCATAGATCACACGTCATCGCCTGAAAACGTTTTAGCTCGGTGCATTTTACCTATGGTTTTTATCTTTTACACACTTCATATTCTGCTTCATATTGCAGCTTTTTTTATCAATAAGAGCATAATTGTTGAATGTTCAAAGTCGTCCAAAGCAATCAAAGTTGTAGAAAATGTGTTTAATTGAAAGCGAGACGTACTGGTATTACACCAAATGACAAATTTATATCACACGAGCTACACAAGATGGCGACTCAAGTTGTTTATACTTATATATGACGTTATTAAACTTTGAATCGCAAGCATACGAATAGTCGATACGTAACGAATGAAAATGTTTACAAATTCGGGTAAAAAAACACTGAGCTACAGCGCTTCAGTGGTAAAAAGTTAAACAATTTTAATAATAAACAATAGGTATAAAACTGTGAAATCATATGCGATATTTTGTAATTTGAAAATATCGATATTTAATGCCAAAAGGCGGCAGAGGGAGAGGGAGAGCCAAAGGCAAGGGCCGTGCCCAGTTATTGGCCCATGGCGAATCTCTATGTCCGGCAAGGAGGCCAGATATATCGCTTGTTGCTGAACAGCCAACTGGAGAAGATGATGATGAAAAAAGTGCTCATAAAGTACCGTCTAATAAAGAAATAGTTACTGAAAAGACTGCTGGTAGTTTAGGTTTGTTTTTAAAGAGTTCTGGTCAACCACAATGCAATGTGTGCATTTGTTTCTGTCATGTTATGGGCCAGAGGCCGCCATTTTTGTGGCCTTGAAAATGGCAGCAACAATTGAGAAAAGTAACAGAAAAACGTAAACAAAAGTGTGCATTGCATTGTGGTTGACCAGGACTCTTTAAATACTACTGTATTACTTTTAGAAGTGCAACATATAGACTGCGAGCAGTTCCTCCTTAAAAGGAAAGGAGGAACTGCAGACAAGTTCAGTCACAACATGAAATACGCCCACTTTTCGCACTGCCCCTTAAGCCTGTTCTCCACTTCAATCGTACAGAAACGTAGCGTATTTCTTTGTTTCCTGAGCGGTAGTGTGGAACTAGTCACTTTGACAAAAGAAAATGGTATGTTACAACACGGCTGAAGTGGAAAGTTACGGGCTTTACAGTGTGACTACACTACAGTAAGTGGAGCAACTTCAGTGAACTGTAATAACACTGGAACACTAACTGCAGGTAAACATGCCCATACTTGCCTGAAGCCAAGACGGCACAGAATAAGGTACACAGAAGGCCGACTTCTTCGTTTTTCCTATGATTTTCCTATGATTTTGGCGTAACTCGTGATTCGTCATCAAATGCTGACGCCATGGTCCTAGCCAGTGCGCGTCTGAGAGGCATTCACCCCCCTGATATCATTCAAAATGGCGTATGTCCAGGGGGGGAATGCCTCTCAAACCCGCACTGGCTAGGACCATGGCGTCAGCATTTTGATGATGAATCATGGCGTGGCAGCGTTACTCGAGTCGACCTTCTGTGTACCTTATTCTGTGAAGACGGCGCTTCTCGCAATGCGTGGCAAGCAATAAATTAACTTTCAAAAGGACTGGGGAGAGTTTCAAGGAGTGGGAAATTCAGTCAAAAATTTGTTTTTGAGCGAAAATCAGCAAGAAAAAGTACTTTTTTATCAAAACAGATCTGTCAATCAACTATATCAGCCAATCGGAATTTTGCGTTGTGTCGACATTGTATATTTTGTTTCTTGGTGTGTTGTCTGCAGTCCCTCCTTTCCCCTTAAGGAGGGACTGCTTGCAGTCTATGCAATATAAAATATGAACAAGCTTTCGTTGGTAGGGATGCGACTACCTGAAAAATATAAGGAGAAGAATTACGACTTTTTTAACCAAGGCTCGTCTGGAGACTAGCCTTACAACGAAAGCTTTAAGTAAACATAACTTTCAATTGGTAGAATGTTAATGATTGTGCCTTGCTGAATTTCATAATTATGGTTCAGTCTTATCAATAGATTCCTGTTTTAATTTAGAAGGTGCTACCGCAGTTACTCAAGTCGAAGAACAATTATCACAAGCAACATTGACATCATCAGTTGGTAAGAATAATGCATTCACAAGCAGGTTTTTGGGGTGCATCTCCCTAGAACAAATCAATATCAAGAGGTATATCTTCTAGAAATATACTGTATTAGTCAATATCAAGAATATTGAATAGTCATTTGTTATTACATGTTTGGTTGGCAGTTTGAGGGTTCACACCCCACCTGAAGAATGTGAACCAGCAATGATGCTCAAGCCCTTTCACAAGTGAAATTGTGTGTTGATGATAGGATTCCTGCCCCCTCCCACCATTATTAGTAATATTACTGGCCTGCCCAATACTCTACCCCCACTCCCTCATGACACACTTTGACATTCTCAAAAAGAATTGCTAAACAAAATGGATTTGCAACCCACCTCCTAGCCACCCCATGCATTACCCCTACTATTACCCATCTCTCTGTCCTCCTCCTCAATATTTATCCCCTGCCTTTTGCTCCTTGCCTTTTGAAAAGCAAACATTGTGTTTGAATAAATTTTTCAGGTTACACAAAGCGAGCAGAGGAGCTTCAATTTCCACGAAGACCAGGTTATGGAAAAATTGGTCGACCAATTAACCTTCACGCAAATTTTTTTGCATTGAGCTTGCCACGAAACGACTTCATTTATCACTATGATGTAACCATAACACCCGAGGCAGTGAAGCATGTTCATCGTGAGATCATGGAACTGGTTTATAAGAAATATGCAGGCGAGGCCTTTGGAAAAGCAAGACCTGCATTTGATGGCTCAAGGAATTTATACACAATGAAGGATTTGCCTGTTGGAAGGGATGGAGTATGTATTTTACCACCCCCATGAATCCAAATAGTTCCCCTAATTATGGCACTGAAATGCCAGTTCATATGTCAGTTCATATGTCAGATTATTTAAATGTGCATGCTGGTGCACAGTATTGCTTTGTCTTATTTTCTGGTTTTTTGGAACCCCTTCATACAACGAAGTAAGACATTTCTCCACTGATTGCAAAATGTTCTATTTCAATCTGATTGTTGTATTTTTTTTCTAAGGTTAAACTAGTTGTTGCTCTTCCATCTCGTGATGAAAAGAGGGAGAAACGCGGTTTCACTGTGAGCAACTATGATATTATGATAGTGAACTTACTGTAGTGTTTACTAGTTATAATACTGAGGAAAGCTAGTATAAAACTGGGATAATTTTTTTTAAGGTATCAATCAAGTTTGCAGCAAAAATATACTTGAAGGAATTAAAAGGTGAGTAATATAAATATACTCAGCAGGTATCCGTTTGAAGTCCTGGCTAATAATAATTTGGGTATGGCCAATACTGTTTTCGTTTACTGCTGGGCTCCGGCTAATTGATGAGCGAAGCAAGTATATGCAAAGAATGGAAGGTCAAAGGCTCAAGCGCACTGTGAGTTGAGTGGTGGGCAAAGGCTTGCAAGCTTTGTCTACTTGGTATATTGTCCGAGTGCAAGACTGGGCTAAAAATTTCAACTTGTCATGGCTGTAAAATGTCTTCTTAGCGCTGGCGAAATTTGCCGTTCCGTGGCTTAAAACAAGATGGGTGTATACTGCTCAATTCAGCTCAAAATATAATGTGAATCTTTTTCTAGCAAAATTCATGCCAGGCACCTTTAGAATTTGTGCCGGTCCACTTTTAAATTCTGTCTTGATTTCAACAATATTTAGCTCTTGTTAACACTAGATAATTTTACTTGTTTTAGAGTTTCTCTCTGGAAAAGGTGCTGGCACTCGTCCTCAAGATTCTCTTATGACACTGGACATTATATTACGTCACATTCCATCATTTAAATTTGAATCTGTTGGAAAAGGAATATTTTGCCCTCCGAACTCCCGTTCAGTTGATCTTGGTGACGGCATTGATTTACGTTTCGGCTTTTACCAGAGTGTTCGTCATTCTGAATGGAAGACAGTGCTTGTTAATGTTGATGGTGAGTGACAGAACTTTTCATTTACCCAGCTTACACAATTAGGCCTTTACTTGGTGGTCTCGGCTAGCTTTGGCAAGGTAAAATTGGTTTGGTAAATTGTTATATTTGTTGGCATTTGGCAAGTATGACGTCACAGGCGAAATGAAAGGCAGGATGCTGCTTCTATTTTTCGCTAGCAAAGACAGTTTAATGACTTTAATCAGTGGCGGCTGCATTTTGTTATAAATCACATGCTAAGCATAGAAACCAACATTTCAGAGAAAATATTTACCCCCGTCAAAAAGAGTGTATAAAATGCGTATGTTGTGACATGTGCAGTGCAGAAACATATATCATGATAACAATTACGTTATATGAGTGTGATTTGTGTTATTTGGTACAAGTTTTTTACAGTCTTTCAAAATTATTGTGGGGCTTTTCCCCCCCTCTTAGCCCCTAGTCTCTGCCACTGAGTTTAATCAGTTCAATTCTTTCTGCCCAATCTGCTAGAAAACCATCGTATTATTGTATTCTCTAGTTTCAGCTAAAGCGTTTTACAAGGAGCAACCTCTCGTCGATTTTCTTCGTCAAATTTTTAATATTGGCGTTCAAGATTTAGACAATCCTCGACTGTTTGATAATAAAAGATTGTTTCATCAATTGAAAGATGCCATTATTGGTAAGACAGTTGTATTGCAGCGTACTTTTGTTGTTGTGTTGTGTTGTGTTGTGTTGTGTCATGGTGCGTTGTGTTGTTTTGAGTGGCGTTGTTTTGCGGTATGTTGTCGTCTCTTGATAATTTGATTTGAATTATGTTGCGTTATGTTATTTATTCAATATGAACGAACTAATCTTCATCTACACAGATGAACTTTCGTGATTTGTGCATGTATTAATTTGATTCAGAAAAACATTGAAAAGTATCATAATGAAGCGTTATTAATTCTTGGCTAATTAGTCTGGATCGTTCGGTCTTAAGCCCTGATTCCACGAGCGCTTTTTGTCAGCTAAATGCGAAATATTTGCGCTGTTTCTTTTGAATTGTGAGCAATCATGCAGAAATAATTTATTCGAGTGGTCACAATTCGAAAGAAACAGGCGAAATATTTCGCATTTCGCTGACAAAAAACGCTCGTGGAATCAGGCCTTTAGGCATGTGAAGTATGCGCGCGCCCGTAAGTTAGCGCTGCATCGAACTGCGTCATTGGTTTCCCACTAAAGTCTGGTTCACACTATCAAAGTTTCTGTGATCACAGTAGGAATTTTGCATGGGTAAATTCTAAGTTTTGAAAGATTTGTAAGAAATGTTTGAGGGATCTGACTCAGTGTAACAGTGATCACATGATAAACTTTGATAGTGTAAACCAGCCGACACATCATCGTTCAGGTGGAGGATGATCCTTTTCTAGTGTAGATCACGCCATTCAATTGAAGTACATTATTCCAATCTAGGATTGAAAGTTGCGACGAATCATCTTGGTCAGGTCAAGAGAAAGTTCGTTATCGGTCGAATTACTAAACCAGCCAACCAGGCATCGTTCCCGTGTGACGGAAAGGAAGTAACTGTTGCTGATTATATGAAACAAAAGTATGGCATTACTTTGAGGTGAGCTTCTTATACACTTCTTTGCATCATGAGCCTAACAACGTCCAACGCAAGTTTTCTCTGTGAGTACTCCTATTTCCCCTTCTACACTACAAATACTAGAACAATAAAGTGGAGTGATGTTTTTGATGTAGAACATGTTACTCTGAGTGTATATCCACACCGGGCGGGCTGAAAAGTTAAGCCCTGGACAAACTAAGAAACATTATTGCGGAAACATTTGTGATTCTCGATGTTTCCTCAAATGTTTCTCCAACCGTGGAAACATTGTTGCGGAAACAAAATTTACTTCCCGGGAAGCAAAAATGTTTCCTACCAAATTCAGAAACATTTGATGTTTCCCTATGTTTCTCACTAATGTTTCCTAGTGTTTGCCCACTCTGGGAAACATGGCGAAACATCGGTAGGAAACAATGTGTCCGCAACAATGTTTCCTAGTTTGCCCAGGGCTTTAGCCTGACCACGGTGGGAATCCGCGACCTTTGTTTGGGATACTAATCCAATGCTCTGCCAACTGAGCTACGAGGCCAAGTCTGCTCGAGTGTGGATATTCTGCCCGGTGCGGATATACACTCAGAGTAACATCAAAAACATTATATTCACCAGAGTACAAAAAATATAATAAAATGGAGGTTTAAATGATCTGTTATGTTGTTAGGTACCCAAATTTACCATGTGTCACGCGGCCCACACAGTATGCTCAGTTTCCGTTAGAGGTACTTGATGTTGTACCTTGTGTACGAAAAAAGATCACGGATGATCAAAAAGTGAAGATGATTAAACAGACAGCTCGGCCTGCTAAACAGAGGGAAGAGGACATCAAATCATGGGTAAGATATTTAATTTCAAGTTACTAATATTTCTAGGAATTTACGTCTACTTGATAGGCCTATGTTTTGACTAAATGTCAAAGCTACGTTTTGCTCAAAACCTAGTGGTTAGTTCTTGCGTAACTCGACGCCTTATTTTGTTTTTAGGCTGAAAAACTTGAAGAAATTAATCGTGATTATCTGTCCAACGAATTTGGTATGGAAATGAAACCTCAACTGGCTGATGTACAAGGTCGTGTCCTCCCTCCCCCAATACTTAGTGTAGGTGGGCAGGATAATCGCCTTACCCCTCGTGACGGATCATGGGATATGAGGAACAAACAATTCTACAGTGGTGTCGGCATTCACTGCTGGGCAGTGGTATTGTTTATGAACGAGAATTTCTGTCGCTCTGAAGCCGTGCGCAATTTTGCGAGCACATTCCAGTCTGTTGCATCACGGGAAGGCTTACGAGTGACGTCAGATCCGGTAACTGTGAAGTATGAACGTCCAACTAAGGTAGGGTTGATGTTTATAACAGCGCATCTGATTGGCTAGTAATAGTTTACCCTTAACGTGCACAACTTGTGGCTAGCAATTGCACATTGTAGCTGAGTGCTTCCTGGGCACAGAGATACACTATTTTTATAACTATACGAGCTTAGAACTCGTGAGGAGAACACGCTAGCTCTGTTAAACTATCGTATAATGTTCTAATTTTAATTTAGGTAGAGGATCTTTTGTGTTCCTTGAAAACGGAACATCACAACCTACAGTTCATCTTTTGCGTCTTGCCGGACACGAAGAAACCACTGTATGGCGAAATCAAACGTGTTGCTGACAACGTTATTGGCGTCGTTACTCAGTGCGTGCAATCAAAATTTGTGCAAACACCTAAACCACAGGTCATCTCCAATATCTGCATGAAAATAAACGCGAAGCTGGGCGGAATTAACCACATCATATGCAAAGACGTCCAAGCGCCCGTTTTTAAGGAGCCAGTTATAGTCTTCGGTGCTGACGTGACCCACCCGCAAGCGGGCGATAGTATATCACCATCTGTAGCTGCGGTTGTAGCCAGCGTTGACTTAAAGGCGAGTCAGTATACAGCTATTGTCCGTGCTCAAGTCACGAAGAAAACTAAGCCTTCAAAAAAGACAGCAACTGTTGAGATTATCGACAACTTGGATCAGATCGTCAAAGAACTTTTAGTCCGTTATTACAGGCGGGCAAAATGTAAACCTACGAAGATTTTATTTTACAGAGATGGCGTAAGCGAGGGTCAATTTGAGCAAGTCTATATGTACGAACTACGGGCTATCCAGAAAGCCTGCATGGAACTGCCAGGCAAATATAGGCCGGGGATTACATTGGTTGTTGTCCAGAAGAGGCACCATGCGAGGTTTTTTTGTGCTGACGCTGCAGATAGGTCCGGCAAGGCTGGAAACATCCCCGCAGGAACTGCCGTCGACCGTGGCGTTGTTCATCCCTACGAGTTTGATTTCTACCTTTGCAGTCATTTTGGGATACAGGTGAGCAACAGTGGATAGTAAGAAGCCCAGATAGTGAACTATAGGATCATAGGTGATGTTTTTAGTCTTCTGATTGGTCATATTCTTTCCATGTATATAATCTCACGATTGCTTAAATTTGGTATGTGACTGTGCTTTTTGCCTCTGGTCTGCAATGACAACGACATGCTTTTAAAAAGGTTTATTTATAAAAAGGTGACTGCACTTTGTGAGTTCTATATTATCATATAGTGCAATGGTGCTCACCGGAAGCTTTACCGAGTCGATTTTAGAACCAACAGACCTAGGGCCTGTTGTACCAAGGCTGGATATTAGATAGCGCTATCCATCGAATAACGATTTTTGAAGCGTTGTAAAATTGCTTTAAAAGCTATAAACTACGTATACTTATTGGCCTGAAACCCACAAATTCTATAGAAATATAATGGCGTTTTTTGCCCCGTAATTAATTACCGTCGGTCACTGAACTAAACTGATTAACTTTTTCTTCGTAGGGCACAAGTCGACCAACACATTATCACGTGCTTCATGACGATAATCAATTCACCGCCGACCACCTGCAACAAGTGACGAATGAGTTGTGCTACACGTTTGCTCGATGTACGAGATCTGTGTCTATTCCATCCCCGGTGTATTACGCTCATCTTGTTGCTTTCAGAGCAAGATATCACATGCACACCGAGTAAGTGAAATGAGGATTTATTTCCTTTTGTTTTCTATTGTCATTAGAATTTATTTTTTTTAATTCCACTTATTAGGGAAACAAATAATTTCTGAACCAAGAACAATTGTTTTTGACTAGAAATAAGAACTATTTGAGAACCGACTCAGCCTGATTTCTCACTAAGTAGTAAGTACCTATTGTATAAGAACCATTTCAGCCTGACACAAGAAATAGTGGCTCTTGTCTGCTTTAGGAGTGAATGAGACCATCGCACTTTCCAAAGCTATCTAAGTAGTACCACAGATGAGGTAGATACAGATGTGAATCTTCCGTCAAATTATGTCACACCGATTAAATAAACTTTAAAATTGTATTAATTCACTATTTTATTAAATTTTGATAATGCAGAGGAATAAAACTATACATATTATAGAAGTATTCATGTTTTTTTTTATGCGAGAGTTATGTTTTGAGGCATTTATATCATTCGCTGTTTTGTTATTTATACACGAGCATCTGAAATTCCCAGCAAGTGTATTTCACGATTTTAATAAGAAGTAGATAGGGAAAAAACAAACTTTTGCTAAATAAAATGTTATATTAACACTTTTAATAAAAAGAAATCAATAAAAGTGATCGCTTACCGTTACTCTTGAAGAATTAATTCCAAAAATAGCCGTCGGTAGCGTAGATTTTTTAAAAAAACAATTTTTCGTCTTTCGAACGGCGTTTTCCTATCTCTTTCCTTATTAAATTTCAGAACGACACTTGCCAGCGCTCGCCGGAAGTGAGAATTCCGTGTGACACAAAACAATCAGCAATTTGACGGAAGATTCACATCTGTATCTACCTCATCTGTGGTAGTACTTTCATTTGTGTGATTATATTTTCGCCTCAGTCGAATGTCAGAAACGTATCTCCAGATCGCCCTCACCAAACACATCACAGGGGTCTGACAAGGGATGAACCTTACTGGATCTGTAACAAGAACAGTTCGGAACTGTTGAAACAAATACAACCCACACCGTCGCAGCGATTACGTTATCGAGTGAATAACTTTAATGTACATTTCCAGGAAATTTTACAATGGCAGGAAACCGAAATCGCAAGAAGAAATTCTCAGAATTGTCAATGATGATATTAAAGTCGAAGAGAAACACAGTCACACCATGTACTTTACTTGAATAGTTTTCAATATTTTTTAGGATTTTAAATTTAATGTATTTTAATTAGTATACCAATAGATAACATGTAAATATAATCGAAATAAATTCATAAAATTACTGTAGACTGGTTGATTTTCATTATTTTCAACCAGTGAATTTTCAATTCATAGAACCACAAGTCCACAATACATAGCAGTTTCAATATGGCGTCACTTTTGATGAAAAAGTCCATTATTGAACACTGCGCTATACGCTAATAACTGGACCGCTAATCATGGACGATTGGCTTGTGATCACTGAGCTTGTGATTGGTTGGATTGAAAGGGCGGGAAAATACTCGACAAAATTGAATGAAAAGTTTGTTTTTGAGCGACAGCAAGCATTTTTCCATCTAAAAACATCAACCTGGTTTTTTGGTGAGTTTTGACTGCTTTACATTTTCACGCAACCAAAAAGTTGAGGTGGAACCATTTTTTATTACGCTAAATAACGAAAGTTTGACTATGAAAAAGAATACTATTACTTTGGACAACTTTTGATTGTTCCAAAACGTGTTTTGTACTGAAGTTCAGGTATTTTATTTTGAGTTTTTTTTAAAGAGTACAGCTAACATAGCCATTAATAGGAAACTATTTCAGTCTTTAGTTATTAATTTACATTATGGGACATTATGGTGAGTGCATTTTATATAAATTCTAACTACAAATACATATTAAATATAGATATTGTATGAATTTCAACTTTATTTTACTAGCTTTGCAAGATGTTCAAATAGTGCAAAGTGTTGCAAATAGAATTATCAGTGATGACGAATTAAGGACGATCATTGAACGAATGAGGTAAGATTAACATATATCAGAAACAAACCCTAGCTACTTTTAGAACATAATGGGTTACCTGTAGAATAGGAAACTGGTAACTAGTTGTAGTTTCACTGTGTACTTATTCTGACTTCTCGTCATTCCGTGACGAGCTCAATTATTATTAAAATATTGTGTTATCTGGAAATGGACGAAGTCTTATCTATGACGAGAAGTCATCAAACAACTCCCTGAAGCTGTGAGCAAGAAGCGAAGATCAAGAGCATCCGTCAACGTCCTTAAAAGCGACGAAATATCACCGCGATTTGCGAAATATTCGGCAGCCATCTTGAAAAACACGCGTCGGGAAAATTCAGTGCTTCCACTTAGCTTATCGACTCCAGTGATCGACTCCAAGGAATTAATACTTCCACTTCGAGGAATATTCCTCAGATAAAGCTCAAAACAAACATCTAAAGGAAATTTCCACGCATTTAAACAATGCCGAAATACAAATGCCCTTTCCCTGCATGCACTTATGAAACCGAAGACGTAGAAGACGGACTTGCAGCTGTCTTACTAACAGTCCACTCTAATGGTATACACACACCAACATCACCTCCAACACAACCTGCTACAAGAGTGGAGAAAGTCAAACGCCCAACAATCTCCTCCGCAGGGACAAGCGAAGATTGGTCTTACTTCCTCTCCCGTTGGAAGGATTACACCGAAGCAACCAAACTCAAGGGCAAAGACGAAGTCCTTCAACTCCTAGAATGTTGCGATGAACAATTGCGCAAGGACCTTACACGTAATGCAGGTGGCTCAATTGCAAACAAGCCAATCGATGAGGTTACCCAGGCAATCAAATCGCTCGCCGTGAGAGAGGAAAATCCCATGGTAGCTCGTGTACAACTCCACAACATGCACCAGGATCGTGACGAAGCCATCCGTAGCTTTTGCGCTCGAGCACGCGGCCAGGCCAGCGTGTGCAAATTCACCATACCTTGCCCCAACTGCGCCACAAGTGTGAACTACACCGATAATATACTATGTGACGTCCTAACACGAGGCCTGGCTGACGGTGAGATCCAACTAGACCTTCTTGCTGACAAAAAACAGGACAAAACCCTAGAGGAAGTCATACAATTCGTTGAAAGAAAAGAATCCGGAAAGAGGTCAGCAGGTCAGCTACTCCAAAGCCAAGGCGCAGATTCTACTCGCAGTCAATACCGTCGAGGCAAAAATGAAGCAAGGAATACCCCCATTGAGCAACAACCTACCCAAGACCAAAAGGACTGTTGCTCTTATTGTGGTAAACACGGACACGGCAAAAACGCACCCCCGAAAATAAGAAAAAATACTTGCCCTGCCTATGGCCAAACCTGTGAACATTGCGGCCGCCTTAACCATTTCAAGAATGTTTGTCGCAGCAAGGATAAACCCAAACGACGAGCACCCTCCCATGCTGGCGAAGGTGCAGTATTTGATGCCTTATGCTCAACAACCGGCAACAGCCAACCCCCTCGCAACCAGGTTTTGCTCGATCACCACCTATACGACAACCTCAACAATCGCTGGACCAAACAACCCTCTCAACCTCAACCATTCATCAAGCTTACAGCTACAGTCCACCCCGATGACTACCAAGCTTTAGGATTCCAACCCGCAACTCGACAAATCAAAACCAGAACCCTCTCCGCGATGGCAGACACTGGCTGCCAAAGTTGTTTAGCTAGTATGAACGTTGTTCGCCGCCTCGGCCTGCGTGAAGACGACCTGATACCAGTTACCATGCACATGCACGCAGCAAACAACAACGGTATCAAAATAATCGGTGCAGTGATCCTGCGATTCTCGGGACAATCTACCTCTGGACAGTCCCTACAAACCCGCCAAATTGTCTATGTCACACATGACTCTGACAAGTTATTCCTTAGCCGAGAAGCCTGTACAGCACTGGGCTTAATCTCTTCCACATTTCCCACTTTTGGCGAAAGTCCCTGCCCAACCACGGACCCCGAGACAGCCTCTACAACAGAACTTCACCCACCAACGCAACCCAAACCCCCCAACGAACCACCCATTCCATCCTGTGGTTGCCCGCATCGCAGAACACCACCACCTAAACCAACACACCTCCCATTCCCAGCCACGGAAGATAACCGAAAACGCCTACAACAATGGCTACTTGATTACTACGAGTCAAGCACATTCAACACCTGTGAGCACCAACCGCTACCCCTAATGGAAAGCATCCCCATGCGACTCATGGTTGACCCAAATGCAACACCTGTTGCCCACCACAACCCTGTCCCTATCCCACTTCACTGGCAAGCAGAGGTGAAAGCTGGCTTGGACCATGATGTTGCCTTGGGTGTTATCGAACCCGTACCTGTCGGAGAACCCGTAACATGGTGCCATAGGATGGTTGTGTGTGCAAAGAAAACTGGGAAACCTCGCCGCACGATTGACTTTCAAGCCCTCAACGCTCATGCAACCAGGGAGACCCACCACACTCAGAGCCCCTTCCACCAGGCCCGCTCCATCCCAAGTGATACCAAGAAGACAGTCTTTGACTGTTGGAATGGCTATCACAGTATCCCACTACACAAAGACGACCATCACCTCACAACCTTTATCACACCATGGGGCCGATATAGGTACAAAACTGCTCCGCAAGGCTATATAGCCTCTGGTGACGGTTATTCACGAAGGTTTGATGAACTAGTCGCCCATGTGCCAAACAAAACCAAGTGTGTCGACGACACTTTGCTGTGGGCGACCGACCTCCGCAAGAGTTTCTTCCAGGCAGTCGATTGGTTGGACCTATGTGGCCACCATGGCATCATACTGAACCCGGAAAAGTTCGTCTTTGGAGCTGACACTGTGGAATTTGCTGGATTCGAAATTACCCCTGACAGCGTGCGTCCTTGCAAGAAATTCCTAAATGCAATCCTCAACTTCCCGAAACCTACCAACATAACCGACATCCGATCTTGGTTCGGTCTAATCAACCAAGTCTCTTATGCCTTCTCCTCCACAGAACGAATGCTCCCGTTCCGCGAGCTACTTAAGCCTGGCTCGACATTCCATTGGACTCCTGAGCTAAACACCTTATTCGAGGAATCCAAATCAGTGATCGTCAGCGAAATCGAGAGAGGCGTACAGATCTTTGACAAATCAAAACCAACATGCTTGGCAACGGATTGGTCAAAAAACGGCATTGGATTTTGGTTATTCCAAAAACATTGTACCTGTGATTCCACTGACACGTTCTGCTGCCCAACCGGGTGGAAAGTCACACTAGTCGGCAGTCGTTTCACCCATGCCGCAGAATCGCGATATGCGCCAATAGAAGGAGAAGCTCTGGCCGTAGCTGATGCTCTCGACAAGGCCAGATTCTTTGTCTTGGGCTGTACCGACCTCACAATCGCTGTTGACCACAAACCATTATTAAAAGTGTTTGGCGACCGCTCTTTCGAAGACATACCCAATGGCAGACTACGAAACCTCAAGGAAAAAACCCTTCGCTATCGGTTCAAAATGGTCCACGTCCCCGGCGTTAAGCATAGAGCTGCTGACGCTCTATCTCGCCACCCAACAGGTCCAACCAACCCAGAAAGGATGCTACTACCAGACGACGTCGCAGCAACCACTGACTCAGAAGCCACCTTCCCCTTCAACAACTTTGGCTACTTTTTCCTAGCAGGCATCCGCTCTCAGGATCCACCACGCAACTACAACCCAGATGATCAACTAGCTTCATCAGCCTTGGCGGCACTCAGCACCATGGCAATAACATGGGAGAGAGTTAAGCTGGCGACCACAAGCGACCATGACATGACACAATTGATCACTCTCATCGAATCTGGGTTTCCCCAGCTCAGACACGAATTACCACCCAACCTTCAAGAATACTACCCATTCCACAACCATCTCCATACCATAGACGGTGTCATCATGTACAAGGAGAGAATTGTCATCCCACCCCCCCTCCGCCCACACATCCTCAGTGTACTACATTGTGCCCACCAAGGAGTGACCTCCATGATAGCACGAGCCAAGTCAACAGTCTTCTGGCCAGGCATCACTCCCTCTATCACAGCGCTTCGAACCAACTGTCAACACTGCAACCGCATGGCCCCCTCTCAACCCAGCGCCCCACCCTATCCTCCCACACCAGCGATCTACCCTTTTCAATGCATCTGTGCAGACTTCTTTCACCACAAAGGCATACAATACCTCGTAATTGTTGACCGTTACTCGAACTGGCCAATCATCGAGCGAGCACAAGATGGGGCGAAAGGTCTAATCAACTGCTTGAGACGCCTGTTTGCCACTTTCGGGATCCCTGATGAGTGTGCTACAGATGGTGGCCCAGAATTCACTGCAGCCTCCACCCGTCAGTTCTTTAAAGATTGGGGAGTTAACCACCGTCTTTCCTCTGTGGCATTCCCGCATTCCAACTGCAGGGCTGAGATAGGCGTTAAAACCGTTAAACGCATCATAACCAACAACACAGACACACGAGGAAGTCTTGACACCGACTCCTTGCAACGCGCAATCCTACAATATCGCAACACACCAGACCCAAACACCAACCTATCCCCCGCACAATGTGTCTTCGGCAGGCCCATCAAGGACTTCATCCCCATATTACCAGGCCGATACATTCCCCACCCCACATGGAGAGACACCCTATCTGCCAGAGAGCAAGCTCTAAGAAACCGCCACATGCAAGCGTCAGAACGCTGGTCCGAACACACCAAACGACTACCACCCCTGAAAGTTGGCGACCATGTTCGCATCCAAAATCAAACTGGCCCCCACCCCACCAAATGGGATAAAACCGGCGTTATTGTGGAAGTACGCCAGTTTGACCAATACGTTGTCAGAGTTGATGGTTCCGGTAGAGTCACCATGCGCAATCGCAAGTTCTTACGACAATATGTCCCTGTTGGTATCTTACCACCTCGTCACACGATCATGGATGATCTACGCCACGTCACTACACCTCCAGCTGACATACCAACCCTCCCTGACCCACAACCAACGCTACCCGAACAACCTCAACCTAACTACAATGGCGAAAAACCGAGAAACCCACTCAATCCCATTCCACCACCAAGCATCCCAACCGATGAAAACCCACTACCGATTACCGCCCCCAATGTTGTACCAATAACTCCAGGTACTCCACCACCCACAGCGGACCAACAAGCAACCGACAACCAGGTCCCTTCAAGAAACAAGAAACCACCATTAGCCCTGAGAAGACTACTGGGCCACAATATAAAAGGACTAAAAGAATAATCACAGACCTTTATATAACTTTTCATATTCAGACAATCAGTCTTAAACACTCTCTGATCCAAGAACCATTTAAGACTTGGGGGGAGATAGAACATAATGGGTTACCTGTAGAATAGGAAACTGGTAACTAGTTGTAGTTTCACTGTGTACTTATTCTGACTTCTCGTCATTCCGTGACGAGCTCAATTATTATTAAAATATTGTGTTATCTGGAAATGGACGAAGTCTTATCTAACTTTGAACAGACAAAATTGATAAAACTGTCATTCAGACAGTACCTTCAGGAATATTTTACCACTGCTTAATTTAATTGATAGACATTTGTCAAGATGAACTATTCTATGTCGTTTGTGTGTAGTTTGTCTTGACATAAAATCCAGTTGGAAATCGAGGCGAATTTCTATAGAAATTTAAATTTTACCATTGAACTTTGGACAGAAAAACTCATTTCAATTGGCAATTGGTCCAAACGGATTTCCAATAAAATTGGATTTTTTCTTATGGGATTTGTTGTTACTTTTTGTAAAGTTTGTATTATTAAAGTCCCTCTAAATTTACAACTATTGGATTATGCCAGACAGCTGTTGATGCAACCTTTTACTGCGTTCCTATATAAAATAAAATATTACACATTAGCTTTCAATATAGTTTGCAGGGGAGAAAAAGAAAATTGGGGGTATGTTTTTTACAATCAAAATATTCTCACCTTGCAAATGGTATATACGATAAGCAATACCTAGTCCAAGAAAAAAACACATGTTGTTAAAGAATGCAATTAATATAGAAAAAATAATTGAAGGGTATTGTAGATGAAAATTATATATATTTCATTAGACCTAACCAGGAACAAGTTCTGCAAAAAATGCAACTTTAGGTCCCTGGTAGGAATTGAACCTGTGATTCCGGTGCAGTGCTCTAACCAACTGAGCTACAGAGGTCAGTTGTCAAGCTCTAACCATAGAATAAAGATCCACATAGAAGGGCAACTTACGTCGGAAGCTTTGAAGTTTCTGTCCTCGCGCATGTCGCATTACGCATGTTTGCCACCATTTCCCTAGCCAGTCAATGACATTTTCTGGCCAATAAACACGTTGTACTGGCTGGCTGCTCCGCCTTCTGGCCAGTAAACTGCATATTTTTGCATAAAAAAACGAGGACACGTTACACTGCTGAGTTGCCCTTCTGTTACTGATATTTATTCTGTGCTCTAACCACAAGGTCATGTCTATATATACTAGGGAGGAAAATCATACCAAGCCATGGCAAAATACTGTAGTATTGCAAACAGTATAGCCAATCCATTGTTTTTCCACTAGAAAAAAATGAGAAAGTGGTATAAATATTTAGGAAAAAAGAACAAAAAGATCATGATTGTAGACTATTTTCAACTTACCCACAATGCAGCACATAAGGTCAATACAAGGCAAACCTATGCATAAGAAAATCTATAATTTAGCAAGTATTCTACAACCATACCCAGAAGTTTAAATTGAACTCTTCAAGTGCCAGTGTTTCCTTACACCAGACAATTTACTTGTCAAGGAGAGACTCATGTAGACACTCGATATCTGCCTATGCACCTGTTAACTCTTTATAAGTAGTAATGTGCCCTACTTTATTACTTTACTCTGTCTAATGCAAGATGATTTCACTCATCAAATGGAGAGTGCTGCTTCTCATTTTACATAAAGCACATACCAACATCACTATAGTTGCAATAAATCGTTTCTCTTTGAACATGTTTTTCAGTTGTTTTAAAGGTCCAGTGAGGAAAAAGGAACTGAAATTATATACATATCAAAATTAATTATATACAAAATTCAAATGAACTCAAAAATCATTGAATTATTAATATTTAATTAATTAATTACCTTTAAGCTGACATCTAATTTTATTTTATTTGTTACCTTGCCAGGGCTGTGAGGTTTCCAAATGTATAAAAAACAGCAAACAATTTATAATTGTTTTGGAATAACATAACAATTCCCTATAAGAATACCAAATATTTTGATGAGATCATGGCATTTGTTTATTAAGCTTTCGTGATCAGAAAGACTGTATACTCACAAGAAGCGTGAGGCCAACTCCCACAACAAAACAAATGATAAACCCTTTTATTCTTGTAGACCAGCTCAATGTTGTAGCATCTGATATCTAGGCCAAAAATAAATAAGTTCCCTTTAAAGCTTGGATTGAGTCAATAGGCAATTCCAGCTTTTAGTTTATGCGGCAGGGGAAGTAAGGCATCACATAGCTGATTATGCTGAAAAAATAGAAATGGTGGCCGTGTAAACACAGAGTGATAGCTTATACTTGTAAATATTGAAATATTTTGGTTGCTTCGGTAGTTTTTATTGATTTTTTTCAGCATAATCAGCACCATGATACCTTACTTCCCATCATATCCCCTGCAGGCATAAACTAAAAGCTGGAATTGCCAATTAATTAACTCATGGCCATCCTAAGATGTTTGGTAAACTTTAATAGACCTCCAACATAAGCACCAGCGCAGCCTCCTTTAACATTTCATTGCAGATACTTTTTACTCATCTAGAAGAAACTGTTGTACATTGATGGGGGCTTAGAAATTTAATAATAATTCAATGTTAAACAGACGTTCATCGCAGCGTTCGGTGATGGGATAGGTGAACTGCTGCTATGTGCATAAATTCAAGTTCAAAATATGTGCTTTTCACCCTGATTTCAGCTTTTCACAAGGGCAGTCCTTTTGGCCATGGTGGGGGGCAGAGCCCCCCTTGCCGCTCCCACTCCACACCCTTGGCTATGCCACTGAATACCTTCAATTGTTTATTATAATATTTACATTAGTATTCCCATAGTGGCTATTTCAGCCAGTTATACTCATAGGTTATACTTCAAAGAATATACTAAATGACCGACAGTCACTACAGCAGCTCAGAAAGTTACGCATGTGACTAGTGTGTTCTGGTTCCCAGGTTCAAGCCTGCTTCTGGATGTTGTTTATTTGCTGTAGCAATTTCACTTAAAACTTGTTTTTCCCCGACTAGTTTTAACTCTCTTCAACAATAGGGCGAGGATCAGTTTATTTTTTAAAATTGCACTTTAACTATAAATGCCAGAACTGATGGTCATATATAAACAAGCTTTTGTTGGTAGAAAAATATAAGAAGAAATTCTCCTTATATTTTTCAGGTAGTTCCATCTCTACCAAATGAAAGCTTGTTTATATTATTGACAGTTTCAACGCTAAGTATTTTTAAAATTCAGCTGCCAGTCACCAACACAGGGTAGTATTTATATTACAGTATTATCTTGCAGAGAAAACATTTAGTTACCGGCTTCACCTGTAAGTCACTTAATTTTTGAAATCGCAATTGAAAATACATTTCTAATAAATTATTCCCTGTCCTAGCATGCTCAACTCAGTTGTTATATCATAGAATTTCCAGACAAAATACATGATTACAAGTAAACAACGAAGTACATGTAGAAAAAGTTATATTTGACTTTCGTTACCTCGGTAATAAGTGAACTTTCGTCGTTTGGTTGGCCTGTTACAGCCGCTTTTAATTTTTGTACTGTACTCGGCGCCATCTTGGATTTGGCAACCGATGTTTTTATTTTTTAACACGACGTCATCATTGGATAATCATTTTAATATTTTCAACCCCCCTGTCGAAGACAAAATGTACAAACTATGAACTATTCCAGCTATTTTGGCAGGGGGGGGGGGGATCAAGTATATGTTAGTAATTTTCTACTTTTAGTTTCATTTATACATTTTTACGTTTAATTTTAAGTTTTAGCGCAGAAATGGAAACCCAAAGAAGAATTGTTTTCCAATCTTCAAAGGATACGTTTTTGGATGCATATGAAGTAGAAGAAAACGTATGTTTTATTACATGTAAATATAGGACTGTCAACATCACATTTGACATGCTGTCAATAACTTTTGAGTTTTTCTCTTTCATTTTGTTATTTTCTCTTGTGTGCAGGTAAAGGTAGAAAGCCCTCAAAATAATGATGTACTTGTCAGAGTAAAAGCTTGCGTCCTGAATAAAAATGATACAAAGGTACATACGCGCTAGTATACTATTCTCCAAGTATGCCTGACTGGAAAGTTTGTCGCTATAGAGTGCCTCGTTTTCATGTTAGAATTATCTGTTATTACCTAATGACATTTCAATCACGAAAACGAGGCTCTTTAGCCAAGGTGACATACTTTCCAGACGGGTGTATTACTGTAATTATGTATCAGTCAAATCCAAGTGTGCCCCTCCCCCGGGCAACAGCGCAGCAATTTGGCTGTGTACTATGTCCCAGGGGAGGGACATTTGCCTGGGGGTGAACATTTGAAAATAATATTCTATTTTTTTTAAAAACCTTGAGGGTTGTTCGCTCTTGCTGCGATCCCACATCCAAATGCACAGCCAGGGTTCAGGTCATTGTAATATGTAATTAGTTATTTAGTTATTCATAATCTCCTAGTTTTAGTTATCAAATCTAACGTCCTTTTTGAAAAGCATGTAATATGAAAAATTTTCCTTAATATAAAGATATTATAAGTTCTTACAGTTCATCTGGTTTTCAGTTACTTCAAGAGTTTAAAATTATTGGCAAAGAAACAATTCCAGTTGGTACTGAGATGTCCGGTATTGTTACTCAAGGTCAGATATTGTTTGACTCAAAACTATATAAAATACCCTGGGAATGAGGTTGGGATCATCCATAGTTAATTATCAACATTGGGTCGATCCAAAAAAGATTTGCACTTTCCCCACAGAGGAAATTTCTGGTGGAGGGGCCGGTTACCTTCTAATTTCCTATGTCGGGGTGGTGACAATATTAATAACTGATATTGTATGCATTTTAAAAAGTTGACTTTTCTGACTGGTCATTATTAGTGACGTGAGATTCAACATTTAAGATTATGCTTGAGGTGGGGATTGAAAAAAAATGGAGTATTATCTGTCAAAATGTTGATAATTATGAACAACTCCGAAATACAATGTTTTTAATAAACTATTTTGATGTTTAATTAAGTTTTATGTTCTTTAGTTGGACCTGATGTATCCAGAGTCAGTGTGGGTGATGAAGTTGTAGGTAATTATGAGACAGGGGCTAGCAGAGCTACATACCCCTCCCCTCCCCAGTCAGTATTTAGTCAGGCAGATTCTACTAAATTAGGCAATATGCTTGGTCTGTTTTCCTCAGTAGCTAGTGATGAGTTTTGCATGGGTGTATCTCAAAAAATGAACAGTTCTATATTTTTTTTTTATTTTTTTTAGACTTACTTTATTTCTGTGCATCTGTATAGGAGATGTGTTCCTCCTGTTTACCTTCTATTTATCTATCAATTAACCGATGATAATGTTAGGCAATTTTCATCAGTGGCAAGGCAAATTTTTGTCTGCCCCTCTCATTTTTTTCCATTTGTACACCTATACACCGATGCACATGCATCCCGTACCTTAGCAAAATTTATTTTTCTGCTTTTAGGAATGCTATCTCCAGACTCACCAGATTGTGCTTGTACTACATTTTGTACCATTTCAGAATACAACATAGGTAATTAAGCTTAAATTAATTAGCCATGAGGGAATCTTTTTTAGTCAGCCAATAAATGTGTAACATGCATGCATTGACCATGCTACTATATATGATTGATTGCAAGTTAATTTTGTTTCAGTGAAAAAGCCAAGTAAAGTAAATTTTGCTGATGCAGCATGTTGTGTTGGTGATGGTATAAAAGCATATACTGCACTACATTACCAAGCGAATATCTGTGGTGGTGAAACTGTATTGGTTATGAATGGTGCATCGGTATGTATAGAGTTCCAAGCATTAGTAAATTAGCGGTTAGTTAACCCTTTAATTAAGTGGCAATATGCCCAGATGCGACCTACTTTATTATTTCACATGGTATATAACGTACGGCAGACTATTTTAACGTACAGCAGATTATTACATTGTCTAAGCTGAGAAAATCAAAGCTAAAGTTTATGTAAATTAACATGATTTTTATCACAAAAAAACACCAAACATGGTAGTGATTTCCTTTGTTTAATTTGAGTACTATTTTAAGCAGACACCAACTTCAGGTCTCAATGGTCATAAACATTATTATTATAACCAATTTTGAACCAACACCTTTAAGCGGCATTTATGATGTCACAAAGAGATTCAAGTGAATTTACATCTAGCCACCGTGGTCCTTGTTGTCACATAAAATGTTCAAATGGATTATTATATATTTAACAATTGCCTTTGTGCAACCATGTTCACAAAAGTGCCTTAGCCACAAAACGAAGAAGCAGTAAAGAAGCAAACTACTTCATTTCAGGGTGCAGGAGTCATGGCTATTCAGCTTGGTCAGAGTTGGGGAGCCAAAGTTATCACCACAGCACATAGTGAAGAAGAAAAATTATTTTTGGAAGGTTTTCGACCAGAAATAGGTAACTGTCATATAGAAAATCATTTAAAATATAGTAAAACCTCTCCTTGTAGACACCTCTGTAACACAGACAACTCTTTAACATTTTATCTCTCTAATATGACACCTCTCTCATATGACATCTCTCTAATACATACACCTAATATGACATCTTTTTAATAAAGACATCTTTCTAATACAGACATGTCTCTAATACAGACATCTCTCTAATAAAGACATCTCTCTAATAAAGACACCTCTCTAATACAGACATCTCTCTAATAAAGACTTCTCTCTAATAAAGACACCTCTCTAATACATCTGTCTAATAAAGACTTCTCTCTAATACAGACACCTCTCTAATACAGACACCTCTCTAATAAAGACATCTCTCTAATAAAGACATCTTTCTAATACAGACTTCTCTCTAATAAAGACATCTCTCTAATAAAGACTTCTCTCTAATACAGACATCTCTCTAATAAAGACATCTCTCTAATAAAGACTTCTCTCTAATACAGACATCTCTCTAATAAAGACTTCTCTCTAATACAGACACCTCTCTAATACAGACACCTCTCTAATACAGACATCTCTCTAATAAAGACATCTCTCTAATACAGACACCTCTCTAATACAGACATCTCTCTAATAAAGACATCTCTCTTAATACAGACTTCTCTCTAATACGGACATCTCTCTAATACAGACATCTCTCTAATAAAGACATCTCTCTAATAAAGACTTCTCTCTAATACGAACATCTCTCTAATACAGACATCTCTCTAATACAGACATCTCTCTAATAAAGACTTCTCTCTAATACGGATACTTCTCTGATACAGACACCTCTCTAATACAGACACCCCTCTAATAAAGACTTCTCTCTAATACGGATACCTCTCTGATACAGACACCTCTCTAATACGGACACCTCTCTAATACAGACACCTCTCTAATACAGACACCTCTCTAATACAGACATCTCTCTAATACAGACACCTCTCTAATACAGACATCTCTCTAATGCAGACACCTCTTTAATACAGACACCTCTCTAATACAGACAACTCTCTAATGCAGACACCTCTCTAATACAGACACCTCTCTAATACAGATATCTCTCTAATACAGACATCTCTCTAATATGGACACCTCTCTAATACAGATACCTCTCTAATACAGATATCTCTCTAATACAGACACCTCTCTAATACAGATATCTCTCTAATACAGACACCTCTCTAATACAGATACCTCTCTAATACAGATACCTCTCTAATACAGACACCTCTCTAATACAGACACCTCTCTAATACAGACACCTCTCTAATACAGACACCTCTCTAATACAGACACCTCTCTAATACAGACACCTCTCTAATACAGACACCTCTCTAATACAGACACCTCTCTAATACAGACATCTCTCTAATACAGACACCTCTCTAATACAGACATCTCTCTAATACAGACATCTCTCTAATACAGACACCTCTCTAACACAGATACCTCTCTAATAAAGACTTCTCTCTAATACAGACATCTCAGACACTTGTCTACTATACAATAATGTTGTTTGAATTGCAGGGAAAATCATTGATTTTGCAAATGTGAAGGTTTCATTATTGGACATTTGTTTAGAAGAAACTGGTGGAACTGGGGTGGATTGTATTATTGACAATGGAGGTACAATGAATTGACATACCCTTAAATTCACTTTTATGTACTATTTAAAATATGAGCAGCAGTGTTTTATCAGATGTAAAGATACGATCAAAAAATACATTGTGTATCTCGAGAAAATCAAAGTTAAAGGCACACATCGTTCAAGTTTATTGCAAAAGTGGATTTTCATTTTTTTAAAGGAGGAGCAGGAAAATTTCTAGTGTGGTGCAAGTGGCACCACTGAGCGAGCTTCTAATCGCCAGGAGTTAATAGGCGTCAGGGTTAAACACTTTCACACAAAATAGGAGGTGTGAAGCAAAATTTTGGTGGGGTTGAACACATTGTAAGAGAGGTTAGATAGATTATAGGGGGGTTTAACCCTTCCTAACCCCCCCCAGTGAATCCGCGATGGTGTATTGTATTTCTTACTATATAGTTCAGCAGTTCTCAGAAGAATTCTCGGATCAAGCTAACAACATTAACCTTCCGTCAAAACATGACCTTATTCTAAGTCTAGCAGTTGGTGGAAAGTGGATAACTACACAATGCGATCTTCAGGTAAGCTCTATGTACTAGATAAAACATGAGCAGCCAATCTGTATCTGATATACAAACTCGAGCCAAAGGCAAGAGTTTGTATATCAGATACAGATCGGATGCGAATGTTTTATTGTACTTAAAAAATTACCCATCTTATGAGTTCATTGGCAAAGTAATTTTGAAAATAAACTCAAGTCTAAGCTGAGAAAATCAAAGCTGAAGTTTATGTAAATCAGGACAAATCTTTATCCGATTTACAAACATTGATTAAACATTCATTTCTTTTGTATTTTCCTCGTGAATTATTAATGAATTTTTTAAGTGCTATTATTTATTATTATTATTATCTTTATTGGGGTCAATTAATCATATTCTACAAAGAAAACATATAAAATGTTCAATCAAACTAGTAATAGAATATAGACCCTAAATAGGCAAGGTATAAACGGGACTCGAAGAACCATGCAAGATACCTTAAACACCATAAACGGCTATGTTGTATCTATACAAATTCGAGCCAGAGGTGAGAGTGAAAGGGTTATACATTTTTTTCATTTTTTCAGTTGGATCCTCCACACTCAAAGATATTATATCTAAAAGGAGCTACAGTGTCATTCCTGTTTAAGGACACATGGATTCTAGCCAAAGGTTTGTAAAGGGTTTTAATAATAAATTACACTAGATATATCCTTCCTGTACTCGTCATGCAAATCATTAGACACACTATCTTGTCTTTTCCACATTCGTTTGGACGGGTGTCTCTCGCATAAATCAAGCCAATTAAATGTGTACAGTATATACGAACGAAAACATCTCTCTTGTCTTCTAGAGCTTTTAGAATTATTGTGCGTAGGTGGCGGTGTTGATAATAGACGCATGTGAGGAGGGAGCGGTCTATATAGGAAGTCTTAAAGTCATCCAAATTAACCAGTGTATATTGACTAGACAGCCACGCAACTGAGCTACGTAAAGCTGGAGTAAATGAGTAATACGAGCAACAAAATTGCTGCAACTTGCAACAAAATCTGATTTCTACGCATGTTAATTGAAAATGTTCACACATACACATTGCAAATCACGAGGCAGCATGTGTCGACATTTCTACTTAACATGAGTTGAAATCCGATTTTGTTGCAAGTTGCCGCAATTTTGTTGCCCGTATTACTCCACCTTAACCAAATTACAATGTATCATTCCTTTCATTCTTCAAAAATGCTGTGCTGAGTGGTTATATTACTACCTTAAAAAATAAGCAGAAACTCGACGTTTCGAGCGAAGGCCCTTCGTCAACGCTACTAACTCTTGACGAAGGGCCTTCGCTCGAAACGTCAAGTTTCTGCTTATTTTTTAAGGTAGTAATATAACCACTCAGCACAGCATTTTCACATTGGTACTACCCACACTGGTACAGACAGTTTCATTCTTCAACAAGATAACGTCAAAATTTAAGATGGCAAATAACTAAATCAATTTCATGAAAATAACCAGGCTATAAAGTAGACCAGGTTGAGGAAAAATAATTTTGTTTGAAAGCTCAGAGTGGAGGAAGGAGAGCAGAATATTTCAAGTACTAAACAAAGTAACACGCCGTAAACCTCGTCTCCTAATCACCCATAAACTTCTATTTTACGTGTTTTTCAGGACAACAAGGCCGGTTTTTACGTATCCTCTGCTATTGCAGTAGAAACAATTCATGTAGCTTTTTATAGTCCAGAAGTTAGCGAGATATTTCAACGCTTTCCTTGACACATGAACTTGAAGATATTTTAACAGATCTACTTGACAAAGTGGAAACAGGAACATTAAAGTAAGTTTGGGACGTGTTGTGGTACTTGTAACAATAGGACTACATGTTCAACACTGAGTCAATTCCCCTGCAAAATTCCTACTGTGATCAGGAGCGCCGGAAAGTCGATAATTGGGGGGGGGGCAGATATTCATATATTCATGTTCACAGACTGTAAAAACAATCGCTTTCAAAGGAAATAAATTATGCAGAACATGAATATATGAATATCTCCCCCCCCCCCCAATTATCGACTTTCCGGCGCTCCTGACTGTGATCACAGAAACTTTCATGATGTAAACTAGCCTTTAGTCAGAGTCGCATAATTTGTAGTTAATAACTACTGTTTAACTCCAAAACCGGTAGTTAAAATCCGCTTATAATTTTATGTGTACAACTTCGTCAAAAGTGAAACAGTTTCACCACATGTAGCTTGCGTGCAGTCGCATGACATCGATCAAACAATGTAAGATATGTTATAACGTCACTTGGGCTGAATACCTCATGATATATTGCAAAACTTGAAAATATCGTCATGAAAAAGCTAGCCAGACAATAAAATATTTGTCGTTGTTTGGAATTTGGGTGTGAACTACCTGGAAAACATTAAAAACACGTGAACGTCTTAAGAGGCTGGGGCGTAGGATTAGAAACTAGTACTACAGCGATCTTGTGATCAACATAAGCCACGCATATAAACGAAATTCAGCATTGTTAGTTCGTTACTGTAAATAGTCCTGTGTGGGCACGTACCGGAAACACGTCATAAAACCCACAAGGTCACAATTATAAACCACCAGCTTCTTAGAAATATATAATTTGGGTGTGTAATAAAAAATCAACTTTGGCATGTGTTAATATATCATATTTTATTTCTAGACCGATGGTACATCATACTGTAAACTTTGAGGATGCTTGCACTGCTCTGAGTAATTTACATCAATTTACAGTGGGTAACGTAGTGTTAGTTATGTAGAAAATACACAGTTCTAATACGAACTAAAGCCCGAATGAAGCGAGATAGACAGTGCGTAAAGAGTTGACAGTTACACGATCTTGGAATACGCCAATCATGTATTCTGTTTAAAGGGGCAGTGTCACGGCGCTGATTGGCTAAAATAAACGGCGCAAAGAAACGTTTAAAATTAATACTACATGATTGGAAAAAATGCAGCAGCCTTCAATTTTTAAAACAAAGCAAGGATGTCCTGTATAACGAAGGGATTATAAATAGTATATCGTATTTCACTCCTAACTTGATTAATTAATTGTTGGCAGATAGTTTTTCAAGTTCGCGCATATTTTGGATGCGGAGTAGAACTGCGACGACACTGCCCCTTTAAGTTAAAATATAGTTGAACTACTCATCAAACTTTTATTTTGTTAATCTAAAGCTTGAAATTACCCCATAACAATGCATGGTTTTGCTTGCGGGCTACGGTATCACGAATTATAGATTAAACTTTTCTGTGCGTGCACGCATGTATGGAAAATGCTTAACTGGAAAACAGCTTCAAGAAAGTGATTTTCCTAGAGTTTGTCCGGAATTCCGGCTTATTCAAGTTTCTCGGTAATTACATCAGTACAGTGAGAGATTGAGTAAGGTGGACTGTATAATAACATGGTTTTGCCTTTTCTGATATTATAAAATATTCAAAACGAATAAAACGAACTACAGAAATAAAATGAACTCCAATGAAATACTTAAACCTATATAAGAATATGAACATTCAGAAGTGTTTAGCTTATATTGGACTGCATGGTTACAAATATTTAGAATAATATACATTTATTTCATCAACTGCGGGTTTCCCCTCTTGGTCACATGAATGTATGCGCCGTATGTAATTTTGAATGTGAAAATTGAGTAAAGTTCAACAATCTGTTAGTATACCAGAACAGGGCTATCTATTCCTATTCCGATGGTCTGTAGTACTCTGAAGTCCCTACAGAACTGATATAAACATTCCCGTAACTAGAACTTAATATTTTAATTTGATCGCATCATTTACATGAATCATGTGCATTCCAGCTGTTCAGTTCAGTATTATGTTACAATTTTGATTGTTGTTCCCCGGGACAGATAATGTTTTACAAAAGTTGGCCTTGCCATTCATTCGCACTTGAGAACTTGCAGAACATATAACAAATGCAAACAGACATAAGTTTACTGTCTCCGTTTATTCCAATGTAAACATTTTCATTCATTCGATGAAATCAGGGTTTTCCCTTTCGGTCACGCACAAATCACATGAGTCTATGATTGATAACTTCCGTCCGCTGTACCAGGTAATAATATAAAGGACCTGCGTTCAGTATTTCTCTCAGTATTGAGAAGTCTAGGAAGCGAGAACACAACATGGAATCGTCCAACGGAACGAGAGAAAACATTAATGCCCAAAGATTAAACCAAGACTTTGTGGTGGTCGATGGCTGTAGCGATCCTACTAACGTCGAAGATGTGGTCGTACGTATGGCCGTGCCAGGCCGTCCAATGTGGCATTTTATCGATGAGGGTGAAGAGGTGGAGTTGTATGTTACATTTGCTGATGGTGTTGTTGGGATACCCTGTACAAACAGCCAATCCAAGGATAATGGTGAATCTTATAAGGTAATATGTACAAATATTGTATATGTACTGTTTATTTCTTTGTAACATGAGAAGATTTGTAGGAAACAAACAAGGGCTATAGAAGTTCCGTCTTGAAACTTAATATTTAAATAGAGCAAGATGACTTCTTTTTCGACTGCTAAAGGATCACTCGACACAGCGCTCGTGATTTTAACAAATGTTTTGTCGGACGTTATTTTTACGTAAAAAAATGAATCTCTTTAATAACGATCAGGTTTAGCGGATGGTGGAGCGCTAAATAGCTTGCCTTTATCCAAACAATGGACGCAGAGGTCGGCCGGGTCGCGAACTGCGTAAGGTTACTTTGGTGAGTTTGGTCGGAGACGTCCTGCCTCCTCCGCGGGCCCTTACTATTTGTAGATCAGTGTATATATAGACATATTAGTTTAATATATAGATCAGTGGCTGAACAAATCTGTTGTGATTATTTGATAGCAACGGGGACGAGGCAGGGAGACGTCTAAACCATTACTCATATGGGGGGTCCCCCTTCATTATACGTAATTAGAGCGGCGTATTTCCAATTTTTAGTTAATTAATAATTACTGTTTAATTACAAAGCCGATAGTTAAAATCAAACGTCGAACTCAATATGTCGCTCCCAATGTAAATTAGGGTTTAACAAAAGTGTGAACAAGCTTTCGTTGGTAGAGATGCAACTACCTGAAAAATATAAGGAGAATTCCAATGTTTTGAGCGAAGGCCTTCGTCTGGAGGTATGAAGAGTCTTCGCTCAAAACGTCGAAATTCTCCTTATATTTTTCGGGTAGTCGCATCCCTAGCAACGAAAGCTTGTTTACATTATTGACACTACCTCCACTAGTTCAAGATTATTTAACAAAAGTATATAAAATATATGGAAGTGAATTACATATAGAATAAATTACAATTTATGTATTAGGTTCGACGCATGAACGACATTTGATCTCTGACTCTTCCACAGTCCCTAACACTGCTTATAACGCAAAGGACCATGGGAATGCCCCGAGGCGTTTTGTCCCATCATTCCGCGCGCGTTGGGTAATTCAACGCGCGTTAAGTAAGCGACTGGGGACGAGTCAAATTTGATCCAGGCGTACCTTCTTCAAAAGCTACGCAATTTTACTTTTATTAAGCCAGGGGAAGTGGAGTCATTTGCTCGTGAGCCGGTTACCTCCAGGGTAACGAAACACTTCGAATTTTCCAACGGCTTGTTTATAAAGTTGGAAATATTCTTTGGAAATAAATCTTGTCAGGATCCATAGAAGTCTTATTCAGTTTTGAAGTCAACAGACTTGCATGTAGAAAATAAAAACAGCAGATTAAATTTTAACCCAGAGTTAACGCTACAGTAAAACCCCGCATACAAGAACCTAGAATTCAAGAACCTGTTAGGCTAAAATGTTTTATTTAGACCCACTTTAAATAAGAACTTGTTCAGGTTATGTAATATCTCTGTCGGGGCCAGCGGCATTAAATAAAGTTTTACCATACCATCTGTATTCTGAGCTTATTCCCGTTGCTTCTAGGTGGACTTAGCCGGGGAAGAAGTTTGTCTAAAGTCTCTGATGTCCTTTAAAATCAACCACTCTACTATGTTCAAAGCTACGAGTAGGGTGACCTCAACACGAAGTCATGCACTGCAGGCTGGCCAACCTGTGCCCTTCAGTTTACAGTATATGAAAGCCGAGACAGGCGACACAGTTCATGAAGTTGAAAAAGTGACCGATCCGAATATGCCTGTATATTATCGTAAGTTGCTAAAAATGACTTCCGTGGGCGTTTCGTAGAGAGTGGCATTCACTCCCTTATCTTCTTAGCAATGTTAATCTTTCTTTTGGTCTTTGGTCACATCACGGCATAATGTATGCAACTGGCTCCCCTTCATCTCTTCTTATTATGTCCATACCATCTCAACCTTGCTTCTCACATCTTCTGATTTCTTCATTCTTTGATGTCTCTGGCAGGCTCCCCTTCATCTCTCCTTATTATGTCCATACCATCTCAACCTTGCTTCTCACATCTTCTGATTTCTTCATTCTTTGATGTCTCTGGCAGGCTCCCCTTCATATCTTCTTATTATGCCCATACCATCTCAACCTTGCTTCTCACATCTTCTTATTTCTTCATTCTTTGATGTCTCTGACAAGCTCTCCTTCATATCTTCTTATTATGTCCATACCATCTCAACCTTGCTTCTCACATCTTCTTATTTCTTCATTCTTTGATGTCTCTGACAAGCTCTCCTTCATCTCTTCTTATTATGTCCATACCATCTCAACCTTGCTTCTCACATCTTCTTATTTCTTCATTC